TTCTCCTCTTTCATTTCAAATTTTGTTTATCTGAGCTTTCTCTCTTTTTTTTCTTTGTAAGTCTGGCTAGGGGTTTGTCAATTTTATTTACCTTCTCAAAGAGCCAGCTCTTTGTTTCACTGATCCTTTCCACTGCTGTTTTTGTTTCAATGACATTTATTTCTGCTCTGATTCTTATTATTTCTCTCCTTCGGCTGACTTTGGGCTTTGTTTGTTCTTTTTCTAATTCAGTTAGGTGTAATTTGAGATTGCTTATTTGGGATTTTTCTTGTCTGTATTGTGATGAATTTCCCTCTTAATACAGCTTTTGCTGCATCCCATATGAGTTGGTATGGCAAGTTATCATTTTCATTTGTCTGCAGATTTTTTTTTATTTCTCCTTTAATTTCTTCAATGATCCATTGCTTGTTCAATAGCACATTGTTTAGTCTCCACATCTTTGTCCCTTTATCAACTTTTTTTTGTAACTAATTTGTAGCTTTATAGCATTGTGATCAGAAAAGATGCTTGTTATTATCTCAATTTTATTAAATTTATTGAGGCTTGCCTTGTTTCCCAACATATAGTCTATCTTTGAGAATGTTCCATGCACACTTGAGAAGGGTGTGTATTATGCTGTTTTTTGATGGAGTGTTCTATATATGTCTATTAAGTCCAACTGGTTTAGCTTTTCATTTAATTCTACTGTTTCCTTACTGATTTTCTGTCTGGATGATCTATCCATTGATGTGAGTGGAGCATTGAGGTCCCCTACTATTATTGTGTTATTATTAATATCTCCATTTAGGTTTGTTAATAGCTGCTTTATGAACTTTGGTGCTCCTGTGTTAGGTGCATAAATATTTATAAGTGTTATTTCTTCTTGATAGAGTGTCCCTTTGATCATTATATATTGCCACCTTTGTCTCTCTTTACCTTACTTATCTTGAAGTCTACTTTGTCTGATATAAGTATTGCAACACCTGCTTTCTTTTATTTGCCATTAGCTTAGAGTGTCATCTTCCATTCCTTCACTCCGAGCCTGTGTTTGTCATTGGAGCTGAGATGTGTTTCCTGGAAGCAGCACATTGTGGGGTCATGTTCTTTAATCCATGTTGCTACTCTGTCTTTTTATTGGACAATTCTATCCACTTACATTTAGGGTGATTATTGATATGTAAGGGCTTAATGGTGTCATTTTATCACTCATCTTCTAGTTCTCCTGCATTTCCTTTGCTTCTTGTCCTATGTGTTTTGCTCTACCCATTGAATTATGTAGTTTTTTATGATGTGTTTCTTTGTTTTCTCCTTATTTATTCTTTGTGTCTCTGTTGTGCTTTTTTGTTTAGTGGTTACCATGAGGTTTGTATTCAGAATCTCGTGTGTAAGATAGTCCATTTTCTGATGACCTCTTATTTCCTTAGTCTAAACCGATTCAGTCCCTTTCCTCCTCCCCTCCTAAGTTGTTTTTCTCACATTTTATTCCATCTTGTGTTGTGAGTTTGTGGTTAAACTGACAAGATTATCTTGATTTTGGTGTTGTCCTTCCCTGTTATCTTTAATGCTATACTTGTGTATTTGTCATCCTATTCTGATTCTGTCTACCTTTTTCTCTCCTTACTCTGTGCTTTGCAACCCCTTTCTCCCTTTTTTCAGGTATGAGGGGGCTTCTTGAGGATTTCTTGTAAGGGCAGTCTTGTGGCTATGAACTCTCTTAGCTTTTGTTTGTCTGTGAAAGGTTTTATTTCTACATCATATCTGAAGGATATTTTTTGCTGGATAGAGTATTCTTGGCTGAAAATTTTTGTCCTTCAAAGATTTGAGTATGTCATTCCATTCTCTCCTAGCTTATAAGGTTTCTGCAGAGAAATCCACTCAAAGCCTGATAGGGGTTCCTTTGTAGGTGTTTTTCTTCTGCCTTGCTGCCCTTAGTATTCTTTCTTTGTCATTCATTTTTGCCAGTTTTACTACTATATGCCCTGCAGTAGGTCTTTTTACATTGACATATCTAGGAGATCTGGAAGCCTCTTCCACACAGATTTCCCTCTCTTGCCCTAGGTTTGGGAAGTTCCCTGCTATTATTTCTTTGAACATGATTTCTGCTCCAATCTCCTTCTCTTCTCCTGCTTGAATCCCTATAATTCTTATGTTGCATTTCCTAATTGAGTCAGATATTTCACGGAGACTTTCTTCATTTCTTTTTAGCCTTAGTTCTCTCTCTTCCTCTGTCTGGAGCATTTCAACATGTATTTCTTCGATTATGCTGATATGCTCCTCTATGGTGTCTGCTCAAGCATTCAGGGAGCCCGCATTTTGTTTTATCTCTTCCATTGTGTCTTTCATCTCTAATATTTCTGATTGATTCTTCTTTAATTTCAATCTCTTTTGTGAAGTAGCTCCTGAACTCATTGAATTTTTTCTCTATGTTCTCTTTTACCTCGTTGAGTTTTATGTTGATAGTTATTTTGAATTCATTGTCATTTAGATTACATATTTCTGTGTCCTCAGGACTGAATTCTGAGTACTTGTCATTTTCTGTCTCTTCTGGAAATTTGATATAGTGTTCGATATTGCTGGAGGAAGTGGTTTGGTGCTTATGCATCCTGATATTACTTGGTTGCAGTTACCACCTATTGCCACTGGGTGAGGGTCAAGAGCCACGTATTCTGAGCCCTCTGCCTTCAGCTGAGATCCCAGGCAGTGGAGCAGCAGAGCAGGTGGGGGGAGGAGTGCTTTCTCCTATGTGCACTCCGGGCTTTCTTACTCTGCTCTCGCTATCTGCTCTCCTGGGGTGTTGGCTTGATGAGGTCACCCCCTGCAAAAGTTCTCACCCAGGTAGAGGTCTTCCCTCTAGGCTGCAGAGGACCTCGGGGGTCCTTGATGTTCCCACAAACAAACATCCTCTTCCCCATTCCTTCCCTCTCTGAGTCTCCTGTGGTCACAGATTGCAGTCTTTAGGGGAGTGAGTGAAGTTCTCTCTTACCCTGTTCCAGGTCCTCTGAGGAGGCTCCAGCCTCTCTTCCCTCTGTCGTATGGCTGCATGTCTCTCTGACATCTTTTGTGTTGTGTTAGGATGTCCTCTGTTGAAGTATGGATGTCCCTGTTCATTGTAAGTTGGAGGGGAGAGAATCCCGGGTAAATTCATTGTGCCATGACGTCACCAAACTTGCTCCAACTGTATCTTTAGTGAATCAAAAAAGTTCAGTTAATCATCTTCCTCATTCATGATGTAGTATCCTCCTCATTTTGGGCAAGGCTTCTTTCGCGTATGTTCATCAGTTTGTATGTATTTCCATTTGTCTCCATTCTCATCCTTTATCAGAGACCATTCTAATATGTTTATTATTTATCCCTTTATTTGTATATAGTATTATAAAACGTGGAATATCATTGAGAATGCACGTACAAATCTTCCTCAACTTGTGATGAGGTTACTTCCCAATGAACCCATCTTAAATTGAAAATATCGTAAGTCAAAAGTGCATTTAACACACTTAACCTACCAAACTTCTTAGTTTAACCTAGCCTGCCTTAAATATGCTCAGAACACTTACATTAGCCTACAGTTGGACAAAATCATCTAATGCAAATCCTCTTCTAAAACAAAGTGTGGAATATGTCATGGAATTTATTGAATACTGTACTGAAAATGAAAAACAGAATGGTTGTCCCTTTATGATGACTTTTTTTTACTAGTAGCCTTTAATTTGTAGAGCAATTTTAGGTTTACAGAAATATTGAGTAGAAAGTACAGAGAGTTCTCATATAGCCCCTCACATACGCAGTTTCCCATGTGATTAATATCTTCCATTCGTGTGGTACATTTGTTTCAATTGATGGACTCATATTGATACATTATTGAATAAATCTATTGTTTACATTTAGGCACACTCTTTTGTTGTACAGTCTTAGGGCCAAATGGATAATGTCATTTATCCACCATTAGAAGACTATCTCCCTCAAAGTTCCCTGTGCTCCAACTATCCATCCCTCCCTCTGAACCTCTGGCACCAGCAACATGAGGGTTTATTTAGGATCTATGGACTCTCATTACACTTATTGTATTTTCATTTCTCAGTTGTCTAATGGTTGCCACTCCATCATGTCCTCAACTGTAGCTCTTTTTAAAAAGACAGTTCATTCTATCATGAGTTCTCTGATGCAAATATAGTAATATAATAAATGTAAAAATACTCTAAAAGTAACGCCTTTTACAAAATTTATAATGACTTAAATATACTACTACTAAGGTAACCAATGTTTCAGAGCAGGGGTCCAAACCCAAGATTTGTCCATATGTTAACACTACTGGGAATTTAGTATCAGCACATGTAGTTTTGTCAAGTTAACTCCACATTGGGCCCCTTCCTGCGACTCCCTGATGTATAGAATTCTCTTCCTTTTGCTTATTTTCCATTCTTTCTTCCTTATTCTCTGCCTCACCCCATCCTCTCCTCTGTGAACTTCCTGTCAGATCCTGCAGTGAGTGGAATGGTTGCTGGGTTATCTTCTGTTTGAGCTGGAACATACTTCTCAAGGTCTTCAAACTCAGACACAGCTGAGAGTGGCCCTTATGCAATCTATCTGCGAACTTGATGTGTTGTAATCCTACTCCTCCTTTCAAATACATGTCGTTTTTACCTTGATAATGCAGACCCAAGTAAATCCTCACTGCTCTAAACACAGCACACAAATCCTCTATCCTAAATGCATGTCATTTATAATAAACATTTGTGACAACTGCCCGTATTTTATCTTCTTTTATATGGTTTCATACGGCTTAAGAGGCCTCCTGGTGATAGGCTGGTGAGAGAGCTTTGACAGCAGTCTCATAGTGACAAATAAGGAGGGTGACATCTGTGATTTCTGCTATTAACTAATATAATTATTCTTCCAGGTCTCAAGTGCAATGTTTCACTTGTTAAACATTTATTCTAAATTTCAAGATGTGTCAACTTTCATCAAGTTTTCCAAGAGTTACCATTGTTCCTAAATAACCTACCTGGTTCACTATTTCTTAGGTTTGGACGGAAGATTATTTTCAGATGTTGTTTGCTCCTGTTTGCCATCTCTGGGACCTGTGCAGCCATTGCTCCCACCTTCCCGGTTTACTGCTCATTACGCTTCCTGGGTGGGATCTGTCTCATGAATATTATAACAAATGCTGTCAGTACCAGTAAGTCAATATTTTGAGCTTTTATTGCCTCCTTGCCTTTAATTGGCCTTGAAATGTCCCATTCTCTGAAATTATTATTATTGTCTGTCTTTTCTTCCAGTGTCAGAGTGGACAGGGCCCAAATCAATAGCTTTGATGACAGGGATAATATTAAATTCCTGCAATATTGGACAGATACTCATGGGAGGACTGGGCTTTGTCATTCAAGACTGGCGCACACTGCAACTGACAATGTCTATACCCTTATTCATCCTCTTCTTGTTCTCCAGGTATGGGCAATCTCCATATTAATTGCCTATAAGGGAGGTGGTGGTGAGAGCAGAGAGGAGAATCCTGACACTTGGGATCTATTTGTTCCCTGGCCTGGTCCTGAGATATGGTCTTCATTAGTACCTACTGTGACTTTTGAGGATAAAAAAAAGGAATAGAAGGATGAGCTACCTGGGAGGTTGCAAATTATTAATCCTTGTTGCATAGCAGACACAGAATTATCATGAAATCATCTTTCTTGATAAAAAAATAACATACCCACTTATTTATAAAGCAAGTATACTATATTATGTTTTTAACTTTGGAAATAACTTTGTGTGGTGGAAATTACTTGAGGGTTTTTTCTGATTATAAGAAAGATTGGACAAAAGGAAAAAACAAAAAATTTATCTCAATAAATATTTGAAATTAGAAGAGCATATTTTCTCTATCACTAAGAATTGGCATGGGGGTGATTTCCACAAAAATGACAGAATAAAGACCTCCAAAACTCAGTTGCTCCATAACAGCAAAAGAAAAAGGCAAAATTTTTCAGAATATGCTTTTTCGGAACTCTGGAAATGAACTAACAGTTCACAGCAAGTCAAGGAATCATTGGTTCAAAAAAAATGAATAAATTCCAGTAAGAATAGTGACTGTTAAAGTGTTTTAACATGTCCTAGTCCCATTTCTTGCTCCCCAGCTATGCTACAGCATTGAAAAATGATGACTTACATTCTTAGTAAAAGAGAGAGAAGAACAAATCTGGAGTTATTTCAAGGCTTCATTCACAAAGAACTGTCAGTATTTGACCTTCCTGGTGGTTTCCCCAACATCCCGTTTGGAAAGTAGTCTATATTTGACCAACAAGAAAGTCCTCTCCTCACACGGAGTTGGTTAAATATTTACTGGCAAGTGTTTTGAGGTCACAGGTTGGCTGAGTTGATGGATAACAATTATGGGAACAACAGACTAATAAAAAAGTTAAAATGAGAAGCTGAGGAGGAAATATCTATACTGGCTGTGAAAATCTCCAAATTATTCCTTGGAGTGTAGAAGGTGATGTTCAAGTGGAGGGCTGCGTGCATACTCATGAAAGTCTAGAGAATGCCCTAGCTCTCTCCTCTGGATGACCTGGAGGCTCTGTACAAGCAGTAAGGGAAGGCAAAGTTAGATATCAGACTGCCTGGCTGCACTTTGAAGGCATGCCCCAACAGACATTCAGAGCCTCTCAGGAAAGTCTGAGACATTTATTGGTTTCATGAGCTGACCACTAAGCTAACCAAGTACTGACTTCAGTGGCCACATGTGGAAAAGGATACAGATTTTACACAATTCATTCACAAAAATTCACTAAACAAACAAACTACAACAAGCAGCTGCAAGAACAGCAAACACTGGGAAAGGGGGGAAGAATCTGACTTTCAGAGTTGCCACATTATAGTCTTTAAAAAATGCAGTTTTCAACAAAAGTTCTGAGCCATGCAGAGAAACAAGAATGTATGACTCTTACACAGGAAAAAAAAAAGCAGTCAATTTAAACTGTATCTGAGAAAACCCAGATGTTGGCTTTTTAGACAAAGGCTTAAATCTACTATATTAAATATTCTCAAGACAAAATAAAATATCCACAAAAATTAAAGAACTGAAAAAAAATTATGAGAAAGATATCTCACCAAACAGAATATGAGGGAAGATGGAAATTATAAAAAGGAGCAAAATAGAAATTCTGGAGTTGAACTGTACGATAACTGAAGTTAAAAAATCACTAGAGAGCCTAGTGACCAGCACATTGGAGCTGGCAGAAAATAAGCAATGAATTTAAAAAGAGGTCAGTTGAGATTATCCAGTTCAATGGCCCAAAAAAAAGAATTAAAGAAAATGAACAGAGCCTCGGACACCTGTGGGACTCCAGGTGTACCAACAGATGCATAATGAAAGTCCCAGAAGGAGAGAGCAGGGAAATGTGTGGAAATATATTTGAATAAATAATGGCTGAGTGATTTCAGTAAGGTGGCAAAATAGGAAGACCCAGCCTTCGACCATCCCAAGAGAAATGCCTATTTAACAACACTATATGGGCCAAAATACCTTTAGGAGAGGTCCAGAATCCAGTGGAGAGTTTGTAGTACTCCAGATGAGCACAAAACTGAGAACAGCTGCAAAAACAGTTAAGACAAGCAATTTGACTTTACTGGCATCAACACCCACCCAAAGCCAACACAGCTCAGCACTAAGAGAGGACACCTCAGCCTGTGATTTCTCACTCAGGGGATAGAGAAATGGGAGTGTGCATTCAACATCCCACGCCTTTCAGGGGACTGCTTAATCTCACATGGAGCACTGACAGAAAGAGCATAGTTCACACACCTGGGGCAGAGAAGAATGAAGAAAAGTGGTGGTGGATTATTGCTGCTGGAATAGAAGACACAGTCAAAGGAATAAAAATATCTATAGTAACTGAACCTAAAGAAGTTGAAATCTATTCATTTCCTTAACAATATTCAAAATAATCATCTTAATGAAGTTCATCAAGTAAAGATCTCCTGTTACTCATATATAGACAACTAAATGAAATCAGGAAAATAATACATAAACAAAATGAGAATATCACCAAAGAAATAGAAAACAAAGCAAAATAACCAAACAGAAATTCTGGAGCTGAAGACTACGGCCACTGAAATGAAAAAATTCAAAGACCTTCAATAGCAGATGTGACAAATGTGAAGAAAAAATTGGCAAACTCAAACAGGGGCTACTTGAAATTATCCTGTGAGAGGATCAAAAAGAAAAAAGGATGAAAAAGAGTGAAGAATGGCTAGTGGACTATGGGACATCATCAAATGAACCAATATATGGATTATGGGAGCCTCAGAAAGAGAAGAGAGAGAGAAAAGACCAGAAAGCTTATTTAAAGAAATAATAGCTGAAAATTTCCCAGATCCAGGAAGGAAATGGACATCCAGATCATGAGGCCCAAAGGAACCCAAATAGGAAAAATTCAAAGAAGTCTACACAGAGATCCATAATCAAATTGTGAAAAGTCAAACACAAAGAGACAATTTAGAAAACAGCAAGAAGAAAGTGACTCATCACATACAAGCGAGCTCCAATAAGGCTATACACAGATTTCTTAGCAGAAATCTTGGAGGCCAGAGGGAGTGGAACAATATATTCAAAATGCTGAAGCAAAAATAACTGTCAACCAAGAATAACATACCCGGTGAAACTGTCCCTCAGGAAAAAGGCAAATGAAAACTTTCCCAGATAAACAAAAGCTGACTGAGTTCATCATCACTACATCTGCCTTCAAAGAAAGGCTAAAGGTAATTCTATTATTTGAAATAAAACAATCTTCAACAGCAATCCAGAAGCACTGGAAAGTATAAAACTCACTAGAAAAGATAAACACAATAAAAAATACAGAATTGTAATACAATAATCGTGGTGTACAAATTACTTTTAATTTTCATATAAAAGTAAAAAGACAAAATATTTGTTTGTCTTAAAGTTTAAAAGCCCTCAAAACATTTTTTAAATTATTTTATTGAGGTCATATTGACTTATAACATTGTGCAAATTTCAAGTGTACATTATTATACAACGTTTCTATATTTCTGTAGAAATTGCATCATGTTCACCACCAATAGTCTAGTTTTTACCTGTCACCATACATATGTGCCCTTTTACCCCTTTCACCCTCCCCCAACTCCCTTCTCTTCTGGGAGCCACTAATCTGTTCTCTTTACCTATATGTTTGTTTATCTTCTACATATGAGGGAAATCATACAGTAATTGTCTTTGTCTGACTTATTTTGCTTAGTATAATATCCTCAAGATCCATGTATGTTGTTGCAAATGGCATGATTTTGTCTTTTGAGTAGTATTCCATTGTATATATATACCACATCTTGTTTATCCATTCATCTTTTGATGGGCACTTGGGTTGCTTCCATGACTTGGTATTGTGAATAATGCTGTGACTGACCATAGAGGTGCATATATCTTTTTGAATTATTTATTTCATGTTCTTGGGATAAATATCGAGTAGTGGAATAGCTGGATAATATGGTACTTCTATATTTAATTTTTTGAGAAATCTCCATATTGTAAATGGACAAGTAAAACTACCTCTATTTGCAGACAACATGACCCAAAATATAGAAAACCTTAAGAGTAGACACACAGACACACACATACAGACAAACACACATTCCACACTATTAGAACTATGAACAGGTAAGAAAGGTTGTAAGATACAAGATTAATTTAAAAAAGTGATTGATCAGTTGTACTACTCTACACTAGTAATGAATAATCCAAAAATAAAATTACAAAAAACAATCCGTTTGCAATAGCATCAAAAATAATGAAAACACTTAAGAATAAATTTAACAAAAGAAGAGCAAGACTTGAACAATGAAAACTATAAGCCATTGTTGAAAGAAATTAAAGACTGAAACAAACAGATTGAAAGACATTTTTGACATGGAAAAATTGGTGTACATATTAAATGCAATTGCTATCAAAATCCTTTTTGCCTTCCTATGAATAAATGGACAAGTTGAGCCTATAATTCATAGTGGCATTCATCAATTCCAAAATTGCCAAAACAATCTTGAAGAATAAGAAAAAAATGAGAGGACTACATTTCCTGATGTTACAACTTACTACAAGCTACAGTATTCAAGACAGTTAACTATGAGGAAAGGAGATAGATAGATGATATGATAGATAGATAGATAGATAGATAGATAGATAGATAGATAGATGATAGATAGATAGATATTGAGATCCCATAAATTAACCCACACTACCCATAAATATACTCTGTACAATATAGTAGATTAATTTTTTACCAAGGTGTCAAGACCTTTCAATGGATAAAGAATAGTCTGTTTAGGCATGACATCAGCATCATGGCAGTGAGTTGTTCCCTTGGTTTCTCCCCTTTAAATTACAACTAAATGGACATTCATTAACCAGCAGAGGATTCCCTGCACCACACAAAAGGACATCT